ACTGTGACATAATATGAAGATTATTGTAGTTAGGATAAATGCATTTTGCATTATGAGTATGGGCCTGTCATGACCTCTGTGGCAATGTCATGGGTTGAATGAAAAATCTCCCAGGGATGATGATGTATTTGAGCATTTGTATCTGGTGTGTGACTTTCATTGGGGTGCTTATGGTACCTTTAGGAGGAGTTGCCTTTCTGGAGGAAGTTAGTCCCTCGGGGTGGGCTTTGAGTATTTATACTGTCACCACACTTATTTTCTAGTGTGGTTGAAACTGTGCAGCCCCCTTCTTATACAGCTACACCATCACCACCATTACAGACTCTGTCCCTAAATAATGTACAGTGAAACAGAAGCAATTGCGTTTCCATGAAAAGCCATTTTTCACACACACACACACACACACACACACACATATGTGTGTGTGTGTGTGTGTGTGTAAAATATATAAAAATATATATATGTGTGTGTGTGTGTGTAAAATATATATATATATATTGTCTTATGGAGTTAGATTTTTCTACATGTGTAGCATTTGTTACTGTGCTGAGCTTTATCCAATCCTGACTTTTTTAAAACTGAGATTAATTGGCTAACTTTTTTTTAAGATTTATTTATTTTATTATATATACAATGTTCTGCCTGCATGTACACCTGAACATGAGAGTCCATTACAGATGGTTGGGAGCTACCATGTGGTAGCTGGGAATTGAACTCAGGACTTCTGGAAGAGCACTGAGCCATCTCTCCAGCCCCAATCCTGACTTTTGATCTTTGGTAGAGGGTATAATTTTTTTCACCAGGATGACATGCATGGATGACATTAATCCTGATCTGCAGATGATTGGATTGCAGGTGTGCAACATTCTCCCTTTTCCTCTGTATATTTTAAGTTTTTTTTTTTAAATTTTTAAAATATGTGCATAAGTTTTTGACCTTAGCCCTAGGTATAAGATTGAATCTCAGAATCGTTTTGATTTGCATTTCCCTGATGACTAATGACATTGAGCATTTCTATAAGTGCTTCTTAGCCATTGAGATTCTTCTGTTTCAAATTCTCTGTTTAGCTCTGTATCCCATTTTTTAACTGGATTATTTCTTTGTTAGTGTTTTATTTCTTGAGTTCTTTATGTATTTTGGATATAGGCTCTTTGTCGCATGTAGGGTTGGTGAAGATCTTTTCCCAAATCTTTTATTCTGTTGACGGAAGTTTTTCAGTCATGAGGTCCCTCTCATTAATGTTGATCTTAGAGCCTGTGCTGTTCTCCAAATACACGTTTCCTTTTTAAATGACATGTATGTAATGTAAAATGTTGGGATCATACATTCGAGTCACTGTCCTTGTGAGTCTTCCCTATTTCTTTTTAATTTTCTTCTTTATTTACATCCCAAGGGTGCTCCTTCCCCTTTCTCCTCCCAGTCTTCCCCTTCTCCCTTTCCATCTCCTTTTTCCCCTCAGAAAAGGGGAGCCCCTTCCTCCCATATCAACCCTCCCCAGCTCATCAAGTCACATCAGGACTGAGCATATCCTCATCCCCTGAGGCCAGGCAAGGCAGCCCTATTAGGAGTGGTGGTCCAAAAGCAGGCAATAGAATCCATGTTAGAAACAGCCTCATTCCATTCACTAGGTGATCCCTAAGAAGATCAATCTGTCCATCGACTACGTGTGTGCAGGGGGCCTAGGTCCAGATCATGCATGCTCGTTAGTTGATGTCTCAGTCTCTGAAAGCCCCCATGGGACTGGGTTAGTTGTTTCTGTTGGTCTTCTTGTGAGATTTCTGTGTCCTCCAGGTCGTTCCATCTTTTCCCCAACACTTCCACAGGACCCACAGAGCTCAGCCCCATGCTTGGCTGCAAGTCCCAGCATCTTTTCTGATCCACTGCTGGCTGGAGCCTCCCAGACTATAGTCAAGTTAGGCTCCTTTCAGCAAGCATGACAATCATTATTAGTGTCAGGGGCTGGTTCTCTACCATGGGGTGGGTCTCAGGTTGGGCCAGTTATTGGTTGGACTTTTCTTCAGTCTTGTAGGCTGGGTAATTTTTGGATCACAGATTTTGTTGGTAGGTTGTTGTTCCCCTTCTTCCACTAGTCCTGCCTGGCTAGGAGGTGGTCACTTCAGTCTTCATGTCCCTCCTGTTGGGAGTCTCAGCTAGAGTCACACCCATGTCCTCCCAAGAGCCTACCCCCATCACAAGCCTCCAGCTTGACAAAGAGATGTCCCTCCTCAGTTTCCCTTCTTGTTCCCACCATGGATTAAAGCTAGACTTCACAACAACAGAAACAATAGAGTGCCTACAATGTAATGGAAACTGAACTACTCTCTACTTAATGACCACTGGGTCAGGGAGGAAATAAAGAAAAAAAAATTAAACACTTTCTAGAATTTAATGAAAATGAAGGCACAACATACCCAAACTTATGGCACACAATGAAAGCAGTGCTTTCATAAAGAAAGTAGTAAGAGCTCATACTAGCAACTTAACAGCTCACCCAAAAACTCTAGAAAAAAAGGAAGCAAACATATCCAAGAGGAGTAGACAGCAGGAAGCAATCAAACTCAGGGCTGAAATCAAACCCAGAAACAAAGAGAACAATACAAAGACATGTGCTCAACTATGTTCATAGTAGCTTCATTCCTAATAGCCAGAAACTGGAAATATCCCAGATGTTTGTTAACTGAAGAATGGATAAAGAAAGTGTGGTACATTTACACAATGGAATAGTCAGTTTTAGTTTTTAATAGTCAGCTATTAAAAACAATGAAAGCATGAAATTGCAGGCAAAGGATAGAACCAGAAAAGATCATTCTGAGTGAGGTAACCCAGACCCAGAAAGACACATAGTATATACTTACTTATAAGTGGATATTAGCTGTATAGTACAGGATAACCATGCTATAATTCACATACCCAAAGAAACTAAGTAAAAGGAGGTCCCGAAGGAGGATGCTTGAATCTTACTCAGAATAAGAAATAGAATAGATCTCACATGTGGTTGAAGAGAGGGAGCAGGATAGGAGAGGGAAAGCTGAGGGAAATGAGGATGGGGATCAGCTGTGGGGAGAAAGGAGGCTGGAGAATGGAGGGCGTGCAGAGAGAAGAGAATCTGTGGGCAGGGTCATCTCTGAGAAAAGCTGGAGACCTACAACAGTGCCTGCTCCTGGGTAGATATAGGAGTGGCTCCAGCTGAGACCCCTAAGAGTGGGGTCATGAAGACTGAAGAAGCCACCCTCTTACCTGACAGGACTTTTGTGGAGGGAGGGTACCACTAACCCAGCCACAAAATATTTGACCCAAAATATACCCTGCAGGATGTGCAGGGATAAAGATAGAGCAGAGATGGAGGAAATCGCAACCAATGCCTGGCCCAACTTGAGACCCACCCCAACGGAGAGAGCCAACTCTTGACCTTGTTAATGATACTCTGCTGTGCTTGAAGATGGGAGTCTACCATGGCTGTCCTCTGAGAGGCTTCATCCAAATGGATTGAAATAGAAGCTGAGATGCAGAGCCAAACTTTGGGTATAGCTTAGGGAGCCTTGTGGAAGAGTAAGGGCAAGGACAGACTGACTCAGGAGCTCCACAAGAAGATCAACAGAGCCAACTAACCTGGGCCCAGGGGGGTTGTGGTGACTGAAGCACCCCAGGATCATGGATGTACTGGACCTAAGCCCCTACACGTATGTAGCTGATGGGTAGTTTGGTCTTCATGTGGGTTCCTTAGGAAGGGGAGAGGGGTTTGTCTGGGACTTGCACCCTGTTGCATGCTTTTCTATCATTTCCCCCCAGCGGGGTTTCCTTGCCTGGCCAGTTTGAAAGAGAAAGTTCTCAGTTCAGATGTGTCTGGGGTGGGTTTTTTGTGGGTGCTCCCCTTTTTTGAGGATTAGGGTAGGGGGGGGAGAGTAGGAAGAGGGAGTGAGGGAAGGACCTTGAGAGGATGGAGGGAGATACAATTTGTATGGAAAGTGAATAACTAAATGAGAAAATAAATTGTGTGCATGAGTTTTTTGCCTATATTTATGGATGTGGACCACATGAAAGCCTGGTGTTCACCGAAGTGAAAAGAGAGCGTTGAATGCTCTCAGTCTTAGTTAGGAATAGTTGGGAGCCTCAAAGTGAGTGCTGGGGACTGATCCAGGTCCTCTGCAAAAGCAACAGGTGATCGTCATTGTAGCATCATTATGTAGCTTGTTGTTTTTTTGTTTGTGGTGTTCGTGTTTTATTTTCTTAGGATCATAATTTACTAATCTTTTTTGAGAACATTTTGATTTATCAGTCAGTAATTTATTAAAATGCATTTTTCATAGGAATATCTTGTTAGCCTCATAGTTTATACAGAGTGACTTTTCTGATAGACAAGTACATTTCTCAAGTGAACATTTAACTCTTTGGAGGAATTTTGAGTGAGGACCTGTGTGCTTTCTGTCTTTTTTGTTTGCTTTTTTCTTTGAGACTTGTTCTCATTATATGTACCTTTTGCTGTCCAGAAAATCACCACATAGATTAGGTTGGCCTGGAACTCATAGAGGTTCACCTGTCTCTGCCTTCTGAGTTCTGGGATTAAACGTGAGCACCACCAAGCCCATCTTTTCCATTTGTTTTTCAAGTTAGTAATTTTGGCACAATTTTGTTGATGTATCCTCAATAATGTTGCTGTTTACAGGTCTCTTTGTATATGTTGCTAGTCATTTCTCCTGTAATGCTTTATCAGTGTGCACAGAATTGAGAGGCTTGAGTTTCCTTCTAAATCGAGTGGTGACTACATTTGAAATTCTATGGCATGAAATTAATCTGTTGATCACACAGAATTATGTAAATATATTCTCAGTGAAGTTTCTCACCATTTCTATTATATTTATGTATGTATTTTTTATGTAAATTGACACACAGACACACACATACAGACATGCACACACAAGGCATATATACATATATATGTATATATATGAATATATATATATATATATATATATATATATATATATTATGGTATACTTTAGGATGCAGTGACCTATGAGGATGTACATGTGAACTTCACTCATGAAGAGTGGGCTTTGCTGGATCCTTCCCAGAAGAATCTTTACAAAGATGTGATGCTGGAGACCTACTGGAACCTTACTTGTATAGGTAATAACATACATTTTTCTTCACTTTTTAACAAGGGAAAAATCTTTCTTAGATATTGGCGCTCTTTTGTGATTTTGATTGTGAAAGAGGAAGAATATGGTAAATAAATTAGGCATTGTTCTAAGGTTCACTGAAGATTCTAATTTAAATTTTGCATAATTTCCAGTAATATATTATACATTTTCTGGTACTGTATTTTAGGCTATAAATGGGAGGACCACAAGATTGAAGAACATTGTCAAAGTTCTACAAGATATGGAAAGTAAGTTTTGTTTGCAGTCTGATACATATGTACTTATGTATATTAAAACATGTATATTTTAATATACCTTGAAGTTTTAATTAAAAAATAGTGTAAACAATCACAGCTTTGTGAGGATAATAAATTCTCACAATACCATATAACTTAATGTCAGGTGTATGGTGTTTGCAAAGTATTTCTTTAAGAAACAAGAAAAGATAACAAGGCCTTAAGAGATGTCACAGTTTTAATCATAGTCACATGTTGTTTATTATTAATATTTAATATTGATTTATCTTTTAGTTAAAGAGTGGTTATTCCTAAACCAGCTCTATACACAAATTACCACACAGAGACTAGGATTTATTAAATTAATCTAGAACACAATGCTGGGCAATAATTATTCCATCCTAAACTTCCAAACCTGCATAGCTTCCTCCTATTCAGATTTCCCACATTATACTTGCCTTTTAATTTTATCTTAGATCCAGTTCATCTCTCCTGGTGTTTCTAAGTCCTCTCCTGCTGCTCTCTCTCCCAGCCTTTCCTCCCATTCACCTCTTTTTCCTCCTCTTTGGACCAGCATTGGCTGGTCCATTGCTCAGTGTTGGCTGGGTGTTTTTATTGGCAATACAGAGAATAAATGGTAGCATATTTACACAAACTTTGAGACAGGTGATGCTTAGAATAAACATCACAATGTGATGTCCAGATTGAAACCAGATAGTGGGGTAGAGAAATCAGCATGTCAGTGAACAAGGGTAAATTGTACACATTCCACAAGAACATTATACCAACAGCCACATGAGAACATCTACTTAGTTTTACACCATTCAATTATGAAAAGCACACACATTGATAAGGAGACTAGTAGATATCCAAGACCTGTTATAAGCTCATCATCCATAGCAAATTTAGGCTTACTCATATACTTGAAGTGACTTACTGTAGGGGGGGACTTAGTGAGGGGACAGCTCATGAGAGTCAAGAAGGTTGTTGTGGTGGAGAAACTTAAATCTTTATACAACATGTCTACGAAGAACATAAAGTCAAACTGTGAATGCAAAACAAACATCTCTTATTTGTTATTTTTCCTTTAATAGTTATATAAACTGTCCCTCTGGATACAAGCCTCATTATCCTATGGTCAATGGAAAGAAGCAGTTTTATCTTCAAAGGCATGAAAAGAGTCGTACTGAAGAGAAATCCTATGAATGTAATCAATGTGATAAAGTCTTTGTATATCAAAGTCAGTTTCACAACCGTGAAAGAAATTATACAACAGAGGCACCCTATGAATGTAATCAGTATAGTAAAGCCTTTTCATATAACAGTGATCTTCAAATCCATGAACGAATTTATACTAGAGAAAAACAGTTTAAATGTAATCAATGTGGTAAAGCCTTTGCATATCTCGGTGATCTTCAAAGGCATGAAAGAGTTCATACTGGAGAGAAACCCTATAAATGTGACAAATGTGGTAAATCCTTTGCATGTCCCAGTAATCTGAAAAGGCATGAAAGAATTCATACTGTTGAGAAAACTTATGAATGTAATCAGTGTGGTAAAGCCTTTACATGTGGGAGTACTCTTCAGATACACAAAAGAATGCATATTGGAGAGAAACCCTATGAGTGCAATCAGTGTGGTAAAACCTTTGCATATAAAAGTCAGTTTCACAACCATGAAAGAATTCATACAGGAGCGGTACCATATAAATGTAATCAATGTGGTAAAGCCTTTATGTGTAACAGCCATCTTCAAATGCATGAAAGAATTCATACTGGAGAGAAACCCTATAAATGTAATCACTGTTGTAAAGCCTTTTCATGGAAGAATAATCTTCAAATCCATGAAAGAATTCATACAGGAGAGAAACCCTATGAATGTAATCAATGTGGTAAAGCCTTTTCACATAACAGTCATCTCCAAAGTCATGAAAGAATTCATACTGGAGAAAAGCCCTATAAATGTAATCAATGTGGTAAAGCCTTTGTATATAAAGGTCAGTTCCACAACCATGAAAGAATTCATACAGGAGAGGTACCATATAAATGTAATCAGTGTGGTAAAGCCTTTTCATATTGTAGTGATCTTCAAAGGCATGAAAGAATTCATACTGGAGAGAAACCCTATAAATGTAATCAGTGTGGTAAAGCATTTGCATATCATAGTGATCTTCAAATGCATGAAAGAATTCATACCGGAGAGAAACCCTATGGATGTAATCAATGTGGTAAAGCCTTTGCATGCCCCAGTAATCTGAAAAGGCATGAAAGAATTCACACTGGAGAGAAACCCTATCAATGTAATCAGTGTGGTAAAGCCTTTGTACGTAACAGTGATCTTCAAAGGCATGAAAGAATTCATAGTGGAGAAAAACAGTTTAAGTGTAATCAGTGTGGAAAAGTCTTTGCATATATTAACAGTCTTCACATGCATGAGAGATATCATATTGATGAGAAATCCAATGAATGGAATCGATGTGGTAAAGCCTTTACATGTCTCAATCCTCTTCAAAAGCATGAAAGAATTTATACCGACAAAAAGATCACCCAGGTACCCAGTAAATGAGCTATATCTTGCCTTCTCAATTCATTTTCCCCACTGAGCTCTCTCACTGGTGCTTGAGTAAGATTCCTAGAACCATTCCATCATTAAAATATTATTTTCTTTTCGAACTGTAGACATTGTCATCCAAGAATACAGGAACACAGAACAGTTTGAATAATAATAAAAACTATTTTCAAATTAAAATGGTAGTTATGTTGTCATTAATTTTTGGATTATAATAGTTTATTCTGAAGACTGCATACTTGTTCCTAACACTTCTCAGAAACACAGATGAATAACAGAGGATCGTCTTAGGAGTAACGGCAGTTGCTGGTAAGCTTGATGGCCTAAGTTCATTCTCTTGAATACCCATATTACTAATGCAAGTTTGTCTTTGAAAATTACACTTAGGTTGTATGTACCACACCAGCACATAACATAACATTGTTGAAACCAAAATAAGGGCCATTGGGTTCACTCACTTGCTCCCAAACTTGCTGCCAAACTTGACTAGCGCTCTTTGATCTCTAGAAGGTCCTCACAGGGAGGAACTAGATAATAGTCCTATAGCTATTGTAAATTGTTCTGTACCAGCACATGCACACAATGGTGCAGCTGAACACAGTTAAATAGCTTTAAAGAGATGAAATTTAAAGAGCAAAGAAATTAACCAAAATATTGAGAACATGGGACACGATTTACCAGTTGTAATTAATTCATTGTAAAATTCCAAGATGTATTACTGTTCAAAACAATGAGGGGTCCTGTTTAAATCTTATACTATCATTTCATTCTCTGATTCAAAGATAGGCCATTTAAAAAACATAGCTGGGTGGAGTGGTACATGTATGTATTTCAAATGGTTGGGAGACAGAGGCATTTGGAACTTTCTGAGTTTGATACCATCTTGGCCCACAGAGTGAGTTCCAGGATGGCCATAGCTTTGTAAAAATAGCCTGTCTCATAATCTGATTGGCATGCTCTTTGATCACCTCCCCCTGAGGGGAGAGCAGCCTTACCAGGCCACAGAAGATGACAATGCAGCCACTCCTGATGAGATCTGATAGACTAAGATCAGAAGGAAGGAGAGGAGGACCTCCCCTATCAGTGGACTTGGGGAGGGACATGCGTGAAGAAGAGGGTAGGAGGATGGGGTCGGGAAGGGAGGAGGGAGAGGCTTTTGGGGGGATACAAAGTGAATAAAATGTAATTAATAAAAATAATAAAAAAAGAAGGGATAATAAAATTCTGTTTATTGTATGACTTTAAAAAAAATTATTTTCATAAAAAAAAAATAGCCTGTCTCAAAAAAGGCATCTGGAACGATGGCTCAGAAATGAAGGGTGCTGGCTGTTCTTCTAGAGCATTTAGGTTAAATATTTTCTCCACAAATAGAAGCATAGAATTGTAACTCCAGTTCCAGGGGTTCCAACATCCTCACACAGACATCCATGCAGGTAAAACACCTATGTGTGTGAAATAAAATAATCATTTTTATAAAGCATATATCACATTACAGAATTTTTTTCTAACTTACTCTGGACTCATCTCTACGTATGTAATCTCTCAGTGTCTTCATTCACATCAAGAGAACTGTGAAAACATTGAAAATGAGAAGAAATGTGCAGTCCATTCACAGAGTGGTAGAAGTCCATTCAAGTACGTATGTGGCCAATAGGATTGTGACCCGTGAAGGGCTAAAAAAGATTCTGCAACAATGAAGCCATTCTTTCCCAAATTGAAAAAAAGTGTATATTATAGGTGATAAAATACTGTGAAGAAGCTGTATTACTATTCTCTGCTGCCTTTATTTTCCAGTAATGTTTAAGTTGTTCATTAGTTCTTTTCACTAAAGATTGACCCTGAGGGTTATATGGAATGTCTGTGATGTGGAGTATCTCAAAGTGTTGCAAAATGCCTGAGAAGAGTTGGCAGCATTTTCAGTTTTCAATACTGTGAAAGGCCTAACACAGCAAAAGCTCTGAGCACAAATCCTTAACCTGCTTCTCCTGATTGAGAGACAGCAAAAATGAGCAATAAAGAACTGTCCACAATGATGTGGACATATTTCAGCCTCCCCAAACTAGAAACATAAGTAACATCTATGTACCAGATATGATTTGTCAGTAATCCTCACGGAGTCACAAGAGGATAGAGGCATGATACTAAATTTTGCACATGAAGGCCATCCCTTAATTGTCAGCCGAGCCTGCTTTTTGGTGAGGGAAAACCATTTGTTCAGGGCTGGAGCATTTGATGAAGGCTTTGTGAGATTTTCGCGCTGCTTTTTGGTTAGCTTCTAGGAAAAGAGAAAATGTTAAAAAGGAATCCGCACATCTATTTTCCTGAAACAAAGGTCCTGGAAGATTAGAATGGAGCCTAATGTGGCCAGACTAAACATGAATCTCTTCAATTTGCAATTTGTGTTGAATTAATTGTAGTAAACTATTAATAGAGGTTCATGTTGGAGTAACAGGCGCTGTTTCTAGCCATTGCACAGCCAGGACTGCGTAATGTGATCGGAATATAAGTTTAGCAGTTGAGGATATGACATTGTAAAGCAAGGTAAATCGTGTAATTCTATCTTTTGTACTGAAGAACCTGAGTAGGTAAAAATCTGCGAACCATCTCTAGAAATGAGGGAACCCTTTACTATCTCTTGTGATATTTATAAATTCTGCTTGTGCAGAGTGTATGTGCCTGGTACTTTTTGGAAATAGAATAGCATGCTTTGATACAAAATCAGTAAGTTTACTAGAAGGAAAATGAGCATCAGTTTGAAAAGAATATGTAGCAAAAGCCAGCACTGAATCATGTGAAGTATTCACTAAAAATTCCAACTATCTTGTTATGAGGATTACAATTTTTATTAGCTCTTGACTAATTATTTTGTCTGAGGCCTGCCCAGAAGTATCAATTCAGAAATCATAAGTCAATATTGAGTGATAGGTAGCCTTTTTTGGAGTGTAATAGAGATATCTGTTCTGTTGACCCATTATCCCAGAGTAATTCCAGAGGGATGCTGGGAGAAAGGATAACTAACAGCATAGAAATAGTGCATGGATTTGAGATATGCCGAAGTTGAGCATTTCTAGGTGTATTTTCCACATGCTGGAGTGCTGTGCATGCAGGTTTGGTGCATCCTCTAGGAGATGAGGGGTCAGAATTCCTCTTAAGAACACCCAATAAAGGTGCAGTTGTGCTGTGGGAATTTTTAACATAGGTCTAACCTAATTAAGTTTCCTAGCATTTGCTGGAAATCATTTAGAGGTTTTTGTTTGTTTTATTTTGTTTATAAAGCAAGTTTATTTCTGCAGAGGCAGTGTCTTATGTTTACATCTAGGGAATAAGCAGAAAAGAGACTCCCCCCCCTCTCAGAACTGTGTCCAGAAGTCCTCAGCAGCAGTAAGTATGTTGTGTTTCAACCATCTTTACTGAGGAACAATGATGTTGGGATCATGAAGAGTCAAACTAGTCACTAGTTGTTCAAACTTACCCAGGCTCTAAGGTGGACATGACAGATTTTCAGGGCCAAGAGACCTGCTGTTATACAGGATGACTGAAGTTGAGCAGGAGGTCAGTCTGGTCCTGGGGCAGTGAGAGCAAGGCCTGATGCAGTGTGGCATCCTTTGCTGCCAGCTGGTTTTCTTCAGCTGCCTGGTGCTTGCCAGAAAGGAACCAGGCGTCTTGATGGCAGCCCCTCAGGAATAAGCTCTCCAAACAGAGAGGCTCTGCAGATAACATGCTCACGGCCCTAGCCCCCTGCACTTCATCAACATCCTCAAAATCTGTCTAGTACCTGGGCTGCAGCTCCAGAAGTTCCATGATCAGACTCTGGTCAGTCACCAAATTGCAGAAAACTTGGTTGTCCAGTACCGGTCAGAGGTGGTTCACAACAGGGGCCCCAGGGGGAGCTATGGTGGAGAAGGTGCCTCCAGACAGTGGACAGTTTCTGGTGGGCTCCATAGATCTAGGACTTCAGTCGTGCCAAGAGCCATTGAATTAGGGAAGTTCAGTAGGCATGTGAGCTTTCTGGAAGGCATTTTCCAAGGTCTATACCATGATGTATCCCCAGAATTGCTTCCAGCCTCTGACACCCCCTCTTTTTGCACTGCTGTATCTCAGAAATCTGACATCGTATGCACCCTCACTTTCTTGGTATTTACTCACTCTGCTTTAACAATCCTTCTATGGGATCTTTATGAGGATGCACTGCTATTCAGATGAATTAATTCCTGCTTATAGAATTCCTGATTTGATATCAACAGCTTTCGTAGTTAAAAAGTTAAATAGCTGCTAAAATGTTGACAGCTGCTGTAAAAACTTCTGTGGACATCCCGGTGCCTCACTAGGAGACAGACCTGAGACAGATTTGTGGCTTCAGATAAGCTTTCAGTCTAGAGGTGATATGATGAATCCTGGTACCCAACATGGGGAGCTCAGAATATAATGGGCTACCAAGAAACGTCTAAATTAAGAACAACCTTAATGTCAAAAGATACAAACTGTTTGGTTGTAGTTTCTTATGCCTTGTCAGCTTATGGCATAAAATACTGTCATTCTAAATTTACTTTGTATCTTGGACTGAAAGACAGAATTCAGGACAGATAATTCATCCTGAACTCACTATAAACTAAGGATAGCTGGAAAACATGTTGCTAGGTCAGTCCTAATTGAAGACAGATATATTGCTGTAACCTCTTGGACCCTGTTAATCTTTAGGCCTGCAAACCTTTGTTATTCTGAGTTCACTATGAATTTATGTAATGGATACGTAGATAATAAATGTTTAGTTTCAGTGAAAAAACATGTACCTATTATGCTGTTGTATTTTCAAATTCAGTTGTTTTTATGATTGTGTGTTTCACTATGAGGTAATTATTCTATGACATAGAGAGCTTTGTC